AACGGGTCGACGCGGGATGCGCTTTTCACCGCACGGAGGAACGGGAGGAGGGAGGATGGGGGTCGAAGAAGCGAGGTGCAGTGTGGGGGCGAGGCGCGGGCAGGAAGGTTGGAGCATGGAGTAGAAGGAGGAGGAGGAGGAGGAGGAGGAGGAGGAGGAGGAGAGGAGGAGGAGGAGGAGGAGGAGGAGGAGGAGGAGGAGGAGGAGGAGGAGGAGGCTGATGAGGTGCAGGGTATGGACGAGGGGGGAGATTAGGATAGGAGGAGGAGGAGGAGGAGGAGGAGGAGGAGGAGGACAAGGGCGACGATGAGGAAGAGGACGACGACGACGAAGAAGCGGAGAGCAAGGAGGAGGAGGAGTGGCCAGAAGAGGGGAAGCAGAACGAGACACAGAAAGAGGAAGGAGGAGGAGGAGAAAGAGGAAGACACTGACTGCGACGAAGACGAGGGCGAAGAGGAGCAGGAGCAGGTTGTCCGTTTGTGTTGGCCACTTTTCACACGCATTTTCCTCCTTCTCATCCCCTCCCATTCCTCCTTATCGTGCTGGGTATTGGCGAAGCCATTACAGGACGAGGTTGCGGTAGCACGCCGACGCATGATGAGGACGGTTTGCGGCCACCCTTGAAGACGCGTCACATAAACAATTGAAGCCAGTTCCAGTAGGTCCTTTCATGACTCCTCATAACGTCCATGCGTTCGTTTCCGCTGCCATTCTGGCTCAAGGCTAAACGCTGTGAAGGTTCGGGGAGCCGAGAACCAGCGATTGGCTTTGGCGGTGTGTGTGTGGCTTTGCTTCGAGCAGCTTGGAAGGGGTAGGCCCTCGCATGTTCCACCCACTACTCTTTTCGCGCACCTGAGGCCTGGAGATGTCAGCGGGGGCGGCGCGTGAATGGGCGCAGACACTCCTCCTCTTGGCTAACAGCATGGACGCGAAGCTGTGGAGGGCCCAGAATGAGCTCACGAGGTCCGCCAACTCAATGAGGGATTCTTAAGACATTCCCGGGGCTAGGCTCGACATCTTCGAGGCCAGCATGGAGCAGCACCAGGGCGCGGGTGGCTCGATGACAAACATACCGAAGGACGCGGAAAGAGGTGCGGATGAAGCATCTAGAGGACACCGTGCGCAAGTTAGAGGAGCAACTCGCGGGCATGGGCCGCGCGTCGCGACCCAAAGCTGAATAATGCCCGCCATCCCAGCGGCGCCGCACGCTTAGTCCTGCGTCGACACGTCCATCACCAGGCACAGGCTCGAGCTCGAGTCGGTTTCAGCAGCGCGAAGGTGCACCACGTCTTGCTCTTTTGGGTTTCACTCGTCCGCTCATGAGCTCTACGCCGCGTCGTGCTGCAGAGGTCGTTCGGCATCGGTGCGCGCGACAGCGCAGGCAGAAGCTGGTTGTCATCAAAGCGTTCGACGTGAACAAGAAGGCCATGTATGAGGTTAAATCTTCGCTCCCTGCCTCAGACTTTCCAGTCGAACTCCTCGAACCCGGAGGGCGGCCACTTGACGCTGAAAGTTCGGAAAGGGGCCTCGACCTTGAGGATCGGGGGCTGCCCCTCTCGATGCCACGCTGCAGGGTCGGTTTTCAGCGGGATCGAACGGGCTCGGCGGGGGCGCGCGCATGCTGCGCGGCGAGGGGTGCCCTGTGCAGCGCGCCCACATCACGGTTGTCGAAGGGCGCAACGTCGCGCGGGTGGAGCTCGAGGATTCGGCCCTGTGTGATCTCGGACTGACTGTCGGGAAACAATAAAGAAGAATCTCTTCTCGAGGCGGCCCAGGCGGCCATGGGGCGCCCCTTTTGAGCCTTCGCGCAACAGCTTTGACCGACGTTTGCCGGGGCGCCGCGCGGCGCAGCGTTCGCGCCCCCCCCCCTCCCCCCCTCCACTGCCGGATGAAGGTAGGAGCACTGCGGACGTGCCTTTCTCCCGCCGCCGCCCCTGCTCGATTTCGATCTGGACCTGGGGCGCGCGCGTTCTCTGTGCGTCCTTTCGGTGCGGTGGTCAATTAGCAAGGCATCATTATCGTGTATTCTCGCGGCGGTGGGATCGGCGAAAATCGCGCGCGTTCAAGAGCGTCGCGGACATTTGGGGGGCGCGGGGGCACCCCGCCAGCCGTTGAGGGCGCCAAATCGGCGCCTCGATGCGCGCGCGTCGGCTGCTGAAGGAGGCGTCATCATCATGATTCGCAGATCTCACGCGGGCTGTTTTGCCCGCATTCGGCATCGAATTTTCTCGAGGCGCGGGGGGGGGCAGGCCCCTGCTCGCGCGACGCGAAGGGCGGCGGGCCAACTCGCGCGCCCGCGTTGAGGGGCAGACTTGGAGACGGCGCCGACGGCGCGCGCGCGCAGGGGCTCCTCGCCGACGACGGGGCACGGCGCGCCCCTGCGGAAGAATCGGGGAGAGGTGTCTGGCGCCCAAAGGAGAATGTGACGACGCGGGGGAAGTTCCTCGAGCGCCGCGAGGCCAGTCGCAAGTTTCGCGATGAAGCGGGGTGGGGGCTCGAC